TAGAAGATACAATAACATCTGCAAATAATTCCGTACATTTTGCATATTCTCTGCCGATTCCTCATGAAATTCAAAAAACTTTCTATTCCGCGCTAATCAAATGGTAGGATATTGCAAAAATGAGGCACAAAAATCCCATTCTTCCAAATCGAAAATGAATATTAAAATTTGAAAAAAAAAAAACAAATGAAAAATCGTCGCACCTGAATCGATAATCATTTGTAATCATTTCCATCGCTGTCACGTAATCTTCCGACGGTAACTGAAAAACTTTTCTTTTTTGAATGTAACAATGAGTCATTTTCAGAAATCGGTTTAAAAAATTAAAAATCTACAACAGTGATGAAAACTAACAAATAATTCATCGGAATCGATCAGCGCTACTATCAAGTGCAAAACAAAATCAATTTGCTACCGATCAATTTCGCTTCAGATTTTGAAAATTATTTGGAAAAAAATTCACTCATTGTCAGATCATAAAAATCGCCTGCCCAACCTACCTTGAGCCTGTCGTCAGCTAGTGATCTCGGCATACTGTATGGGTTATATCTCGCCGGTACTACCCATGCCATTGTCGTATTTTCCGGGTAGACTGCACATATGATTTTACCATTTCCTTAAAAGATGCAAATATGAAAAATTACCCATAAATAACCCTCTTCATCAAAGAATAATCATTTATCGAAACACTGAATTTGTCTTCTTTCATAAACTATTCAATCCTACCAAATTTAATCTCACATCTTACATTCCAAAAGAAAAATCACTTTTTTCCTCGCCAATACGTGACATTTTCCAACTGAACGAACTTTCCTTCAAGAAAAAAGCCAAAGATTTTTCTCAAAAAATAAAGTTTTGAAAATTTTTGACGAGACGAATGGACACAAATACTGAACACGATAAGATACGATACGCACTGAATGGTTCGTCTTCTTTGGGTACCACAACCGTCGGTGATTCGGGATCAGTTGGTGGTGTGCCTCCATTAGCCTTTGCTCCACTCCTCGTCGCATACCCACTACTTTCAAGAAGTTTTGACGCATCTGAAAAACATTCAGAATATTCATTTCAATTCAATATTCCCATCGAAACTACTGTCATATGACATGCAAGGAATTTCAAAAAAGCCAAAAAAGAATCTCAGAAAAACCCTTATACTGCTTACCTATAACAATCGACTGTGGTGTTATTTGAGGAGGAGGAGTGGTTTGATCCACCTGATTTGTGGACATTTCGCGATTTTCTTCATTCTTTTCCTCGCCTTGTTCTGATTGCTCATCAAAATGCACCCAATCTTTCTTCGGTGGATTCACATCACCACCATGACCAGGCTCTTGCTCAGACATTATCGCGCTGCGCTGTAATTGTGGTTGTGTCACCATAAACCATACGACTACTTGCATAAAATAACCACTTCTCAACGATGAAATGAAATATTTTCGCCATGACAACGTCACATTCGATCTCTAATTACGCAATAATTCCACTTCACTTCAAATACTACAATAAGGAACCAAAACCAAACAAACAGTGAAAGAAATCCGCTCAATTGCAAACTAACAATAACAATAAGGCAATTGTTTAAAAGGCGATTAGTCTCAACTCAATTGAAGTGAATCGAGAAATCAGTGAGTTTATTAATATTATTATTATTATTATCTTTATTGTTATCAGCTACCTAAAGGAATAAAAATAATACTATTAACAAGTAATCAGTGGCAAGATAAAGTCAACGATAGTGACATCTGAACCAAGCGAGTATTCCCCAATTGTTACGATCAAAAAACATTCCATATGAATAAAAGGATAACAACCAGTGGCTAATAAAGGGTAACAATATCACTATTCCCGTCTACTTCTTCCCTTTCACGAAGTCATTAAGTGGTAACAACTTCAAACGATAGCAAATGCAACCAAAACAACCACATTTCCACCATGAAAGCAACTGATCACTTGGAAGATTTCCGCATTTTTTCAAATACGAAGAAATTAATCAAAACAAGTGACATTCCAGTAAACACATTAAAATCCTTCAACAAATCTGATTGTGAGCATCAAAGGTATTCGTTTGGAATCTCCGAAATGTAAATTCAAAATTTTCTCAAAAGATTACAAAGAGCCCCGCAACAAATGATATCAAAACTTTGAAAAAAGTACTAATCAGATAGGATATCGGATAACCCTTCAATGTTTTAACTCTTTGCGAATGCACAAACACAACGGTGAAACAATCGTAATTTTATTGTTGCGTTATTCACAATGCGAATTCAATTTCATTCATTTATTTACATAACAAAAAATTCCAACCAATCAAACCATCACTATAATCTAACATCATAAATTCAAACATACCTAACAAAATCAATCCTGCGAATGTAGTTCACACTAAACCCATTTTAAACTATTAATATCAATTCAAACATTACTATCTGATCTAATATTATTATAATATTAATATAACATTACTAAAATATAACACATATTAAAAAAATAATAATAGGATATGATCGTTACTATTACCATAAGTACAAATATAAAGTCAAAGAGGTATAAAACGATATCAAATCAGATGGCAGTGAAATGATAACAATATCAATATAATAAAGTTAGGAAAATATGGACAGAAACAAATAAAATGGCAAAATTCATCGTCTCAAAAAAATATCAAAAATTTGATTTTTGAATTTTAAAAAATTTCATGAAACGACAACGAATGCAGATAGCATTACTGAATATATTCATCATACAAGAGAGAGAGAGAGGATTAACGATTTCACAAGACACCATTAATAAATAATAATAATAACCGCAATGATGAAGCAATGAAAAAATCAAACGAAAGCAAATAAAAACACGACATTGCAAATATTTTAAGAGTACATTCTAAGGAACATAAGGGTATATTC